TTCTCTGCTGTTGTCCGATCATCCCTTTGAACTAACGGACATATTGAAATGAACTGATATGATTCCTTGCAGCAACACTTTGACGATTCGAATTTTTCTATGTAATTGATATATTGAGGAGGGCTTGCCCAATTTGGCCACCACCCAGACATAGTCAAAATTTGGCTCGATTCGTGCATCTTCGAAATCACTAAATTAATGGAACTTTTATTTATCTAACATTGTGACATATACGTAATAGCCCTTTATTTATTTTAGAATTTTTTATAAATTTAATATAAAAACTCAACTACCATGATTGGAAAAAAAAAAACTCGACTACAAGCTATATCATTCATGAGCATATGATTCACTATTTAGGCTCTGTGCAAGTGCAACACACAGTATCCACATCTCTCTTTCCAATCCTTTTTTTAAGCTACTTTCAGCATTTTCACCAGATTTAAAGCAAGTCTTATTAAAATTCATCAACTCTATTTGGAAATTAACAACGGTTCCGACTTATTCTCATTAAACATAGCACCATCTGAGGAATCGAAGAGCCAAATTGGGAAAAAAAAAACGTAGATCGATATTAAATAAGGACAGTGTGAAAAAGATAGAAGAAATATTTCAGTCCATAAAAAAAGACCAGAAAAACATCTCCTGTGTGTGTCCTATGAAAATGATGGGAAGGAGCTGCCAGTTTTGATAAAGATGAAGAAAGATGCACACAAAACACAATACTAGCAAGAGAAGAGAATGAAGTGGAAGGGAGAGGCAGAAATATAAAAATAGTAGAAAGGGAGAAGGGCAATGTGGAGAGGAATTCTAGGAGTGCGCACTCCAAGCAAGAGGAAGGCCAATTGCGAAATGCTAAAAAACTCAAACTTCTATGTATTCCAAATCCCAGTACGAAGGAACACATGCACGAGATAGGAGCCCACAAAAAGAGGGCTGTTTGTTTGTTCGTTTTTGAGGGGTGGGAGGGAGTAAATGAACAAGCTGACCTGAGAAGGGGGGAAGGGATGGAAGGAAGGAAGGAACAAACCTAATCGTAGGCTAACCAAAATTAGGGTTAGGGTTAGGGTTTAAATGAAGTCGATAAGCCTACTCTTCCATTGAGGCATCCCACCAAACACCAACACGCATAACCCTTTTTCCAGCGCCTTATTTCGAGGCGACACGAGCACTTTCCCGGCGTTTCCTCCCACCTCTTTCTATTTCTCTGGATTCTCGCCCCCCCAACCTCCCTCCCCTCTTTGCCCTCCATCTTCTCCTCTATTTTACCCTCCTATCCCTCTCTTCTCTACACGCGGACCCCTTGTTAAATTAAATGCAGAGATGAATGCGACTAGCACTCTTGATGAACACTCCAGTATTTGGCTGCATGGATATGCGCGGAGCGGAATTGAATGTCATAATGACTTGAGACTTGGAACGACAGGGAGGGGCAATGAGGTAATTACGGGGGTCACAGGGCGGTCAAAGCTCTTTTGGTGAGAAGCGTTTTGTAGCGCAGGCATGCACACCGGATAATTGGCCCCTCTGGCACCAACTTTAAAAGGGAGCCCCAAGCATGAGACGACAACCGACACGTGTCAGTCACATTCCTCTGAAACGGCGTGACTGGTTGACCGAATAAGGGCGACGCCCAATCACCCCCCCTTCCCCCCTCATCTTCCTCTTCCTCTTCTCTGCTTCACCTCCACATTTTCCAAAGAGTGCGAGGGGTAGAGAGAGAGAAACAGATTCTTCCTGTTCTTTTCGCCACTTTTTTTTTAAGTTTTCTTCCTTCTTTTCACATGCCATTTTTCTTCTTTTTCGTCCGAGTCTAATAGAGACGGACAAAAGGGTTTTGGCCTTTTGCTTCCCCTCTCCTCCTTTTTATTTGTTTCTTTGTGCATCCACAGCCATGCGCCCATGCGTTTCAGAGGTTTAGATTGAGGGACTATCACCGCTTGTGAAGGTTTTTCATTCCACAAAAACTGAATAAATTAGGCCCCAAAAAAGGGAAGAAAAAAAAAGAAAAAGAAAGCAAGTTTGGAATCGAAGACAGCGAGAGACGTGGGGTTTTGCTCCCTTATTGTGGTGCACTTCGGTCAAAATAGCCTTTTCTTTAAGTGCAAGAATTTGGCTGCAACAGTGCGTCATCAACAATGACAGGTACTATCAATATTTTAATTAATCCCACTCTTTAATTAATATTAGTGCAGTCCAAATATATACGATAGTTAATCATCAGTTTAGATTCTTGGTGCCTTGGTTCCAACGTTGCCGATGGCTTTCCTCTCTCTGAAGTCTGAACTGCTCAGCAAGCCATATCAGTTTATAAATCATAGAAACATGGACTCACTGGCCCCTCCTCTGAAACTGCATACCCAGAAAATATTGACAAGCTAGGAATCCTTCATATTCTCTTCTTCACAAACATATATAAATAGCGGCGCTTCCACTCTTCTCTCTCACTTCATCCTCCAAGTAACACTTTAAAAAAAATAAAGGTGACATGCATGCATAACATAAATGTGATCCATTCTTGCTGGCGCTACATCACACATCCTCATCAATGTGTATATAAATATAAATATATATATCCACTTTTTCTTTACACGAAATATATATATATATATATGGATCATTATTTGGCAACTAGCTATAATAGGAAACTTTTGTATTTATACTAGTAATTTATGCAGTTTACATATTCACAGAATAATATACAGATAAGTTTAGTTTACAGGTCACTTGCTGACAGCAACCAATTAAGTAAACCATTTGGCATCACTACTGTCCCTTTAAAACATTGTATGTATAACATAAAGTCAAGCCTGAAATTCTCAATCATTGAGAGGGCCCTTAAATGTGGTTTTCTGGTTTTAAACAATTTGGCATCACTACAGTAGAGGATATATGTTTCTATTTATAGGAGAAATAACTGCTGACAACATAAAATTTATCACTCGCAAGTCGCACCTGTTCATCAATATACATATACAAGAAGAAAGAAACAAACAAACTGGCTTGTCAATTTTTAACACTTTATATACAGTACCAATGCTTATCAGTGAGATGGGGAAATATGACCTGTTGGTGGTGCCATATAATCAGATTAGGAAATAGGGAAATATGAGGCTAATTCACACAACAGGGGGCATGGTTATTTTAGGTATATTAGTATTTATTAACAAAATTCAAATTTATTGTTTTATCTACACCATAAGGGGTAGGTTTTTAGTGAGAGATTTGTATATATGTACATTATTTGCGGTTATGGAGGTGTTATTTAATTGTTGCGCAATAAGACTTTCCAATGTAGTAGCTACTATATATTAACTTTGGGCCATTGTATTATTAAATTAATGAGAGCAACAGCTATGTCTAAGTTGCACTTTAAGTCGATAACCGGAGCTGTACGTACTTGATAATAATACTTACGGAGTTTAAATTTCTGCACTGTTATGCATGTATTGAAAAAAGATTACACATTCCGTAAAAGAGTTTCGTGCCATGTTCTGTAATCATTTCCTTTGGATATGAAGATACACTAGGTCAAAAATGCTAGGAGGGAGGAAGATCATTCTGCATAGAGAATGGCTAAAAAGATCTTATGTTTGCGAATCCCAGATTTTGGCCTAATAGGATGAACCAGAGCCACCGAAGAATACAAGCTTCGAGTGTGGATAGGAATTGGACATGAACCTGAGCTTCTCTTTTTAAATTTTAACCTGTTAATTTCCACGGGCCTCCTTTTGACGGGTGCGAAAACCGATTAGGTGGTCAACAGATTTCTGCTCGGGGCCATAACCAAAGGAAATCCTTAGAATTCTATATTATATTTCTTAATTTCCATTTAATCAAATCACCTTAATAAATTAATATTGATATATCAACGGGTTGGTCTTATTTTGAACAAGAGTATTTCTTACTCTTTCTTTCAGTACTTTTATTATTTAATATGTCATAATTTCTCATATAATACTGCATGTCCGTACACAATCATCTTTAACACATGCATCACTCGGGGATCCACAACTTGGGGTTTCTTTGGTAAAAACCTATTTTCTCGTCTTCTCTATCAATGTATTCGACTGAAATTGTATTCTTTCTTTTTTATTGTTCAATCTCATATTTTTATCACTATTTGTTGCGTAAAGTTGATTTTTTTAATTTCGTCGTCTTAACCGATTACTTGTGTAGCTAGAAAAAATTTTACTTATCTGAACTGAATGTACGTTGTCTGCTATCAACTTAATCTGACGATGATGATAGATATACAGAGAGATATATTTCATGGTGATTGAAAATGATATTATTGTGGCACGTAGCAAAAGTTGAAATATAACTAGATATGATACAAAACAAACAAAAGGGAACATTTTTTTAATCAAACGGAGCCTTAGTTTAATGCTGCTGCTAGAATAAATATGACACACACACACACAATATATATATATATATATATATATATGGAGAGAGGGAGGGAGAGAGAGGTCGGTAGTCTAACTTTACGTATAGAGTGGATTCTAAGAGTGGGAGATGATTTGCAGAGTGTGGGAATGCTGGGCCTTCGGGAGTCATTTATTTCACGGAACGAGGACGCGAGTTCCAATACACCCAAGTGGGGCAAGAGAGAGAGCGAGGAGAGAAAGAGGGATTGGATTTTTCCAGTTGGAATGGTGGGTTTGTCTCTGTACAAAGACTGAAGGAGTTTGAGTCATAGTTTAGTATGACACTCGTGTCCTCCTTTATAAATATCCTCCAACGTAAATATTATTTAATAATCATTGTAGGCAGATTATAACTTTGTTTTTGAATCTTGGGAACTGGTGGGAAAAGCGTCCGAGTCCAAAAATGACCACTGAAAAAAGGTTGGCACAGTAGCCTGACGATTTAATTAAAGTATTATTAAGAGATAGGATAGAGGTATAGGAGAGAGGGGTGCCCTTTAAATATTATGCGCCTCTCTTCAAAATGTTTTCTTTTCTTTTCAGCCCCCTCCTCCTCCTCCTTTATCTTAAGCTTCAAACTTGAAAGTTTGAAAGACAGAAGAAACTAAGGCTTCACCTTCGCTGCTTTAAATCCTTCTCTCCTCTGCCCCTGGGTAAACTTTTTAGCTCTCGACTCTACTTTCTCATCATCACTTGCTTTGATTCCTTTGCTATTACTTCCATATCTGATCTCAATATTTCAAGTTTTTATTAGATGCAGGTGATTCTTGATTTCTCCTGAAGCTATGGGCTCAATGAACTCAAACAACTGGCTATCCTTCCCTCTTTCCCCTACTCAGTCTTCCTTACCTCCACAACTCCAAGCCACTCAATCCCATCAGTTTTCTCTTGGCTTAGTCAATGATTCCATGGAAAACCCTTTCCAAAACCACGGTACCGTCCCCTCTTTCTCTCTCTTCTTTGGAGTTGAATAGGTAATTAAGAGGTTGGATAACTTATTTCAACTAGTTCGCACTGCCATCAGTGGGGAAGTCGACCTGTATCTGTTCTTCTTCTTCTTTTTTCCTTCTTTGTTTTTTTTTTTTTTAGTTGTATTTTTTCCCCATATGTTATTTGAATGCGCAGATTGGAATCTGATGAATACACACGGAAGCAACGTTAATGAAGTTCCAAAGGTTGCAGATTTTCTAGGAGTGGGGAAGTCTGAGAATCAGTCAGATCTTGCAGCCTTTAATGAAATTCAGTCAAATGATTCGGGTTACCTATTCACAAACAGCAGTCTGGTGCCGATGCAAAGCTCAGTGGTGGCCACATCTGGCAACTTCGAGTATCAAGAAAACAATGCTAACAATAACCTGCAGTCTTTGACATTATCCATGGGTAGTGGTAAGGATTCTACCTGTGAAACCAGTGGCGACAATAGTACTAATACTGCCGTCGAAGCTGCTGCACCCAGAAGAACTTTAGATACATTCGGTCAGCGAACATCAATCTATCGCGGTGTAACCAGGTAGCATCTTGATAGGTCTTGTTTGTTTCGTTTAATCATTTTACTGAATATTACAAAACTATGAATTTAAATTAATGTACTTTCTGAAACACTTGTGTTGTTATTGCTGTTGTTTGTTGATGGTGGGTGTAACTATACAATAACTATATGCAGACATAGATGGACTGGAAGGTATGAAGCTCATCTTTGGGACAATAGTTGTAGAAGGGAAGGGCAATCACGAAAGGGACGCCAAGGTAAAATATCCGAGCAGCTTCCAGCGCTTCTTCCTCTCTTTCCTTCGCTTTAATTTGAAATTTATAATTAACTATTTCTATTTCTGAGCTAACATATTGATTGTTCATTTTATTCTCTTTGGTTGTATGTCTTGGTTCTCATCGGCCGAGTTCCTGTAGTCTATTTGGGTAAGCGTCTCTCCCGTGACAATTATTGATTTATTTCCAACCTTTCTGTTTTAACCTTGAAATAATTTACATACACAAGTGATCGCCCTTTTTGGCAGGTGGATATGACAAAGAAGAGAAAGCAGCTAGGGCCTACGATTTAGCGGCACTAAAGTACTGGGGAACATCCACAACTACCAACTTTCCAGTAAGTTATAAATGTCCCTATTACTTTATAGCTAGAGCGGTTCCAACATACTGGATCAGGTTTATAAGAGCCTTTTTGATGATGTCGCAGATCAGTAACTACGAAAAGGAGCTGGAGGAGATGAAGCACATGACAAGACAAGAATTTGTGGCCGCCATACGAAGGTGAAAACTTGCAATTAGCATGCACTAATTTTTACTAGTCATTAATCAGTCAATAATATGTACTAGGCAAAAAAATTTTCTTCCTTTATGGTACCCACATGAATGTTATGGTATTGTTCGACGTTGCTGACTGTATAATCAATTTTTGCTGGTTATGTTTTCCAGGAAGAGCAGTGGGTTCTCAAGGGGCGCATCAATGTATCGCGGAGTCACAAGGTGCGATAATGCATCTGATTGTGCGTTCGAGCTTTTTGTGTCATTACTTACTTTATATCTAATCCTTTATTTTATTTTATTTTTTTGGGTTTTCCTTCTTTTGGTTTGTCACTTAGTATTCTGTAGTAACTCGCGTAACATATTTTATTGCAGGCATCATCAACATGGTAGATGGCAGGCAAGGATCGGTAGAGTTGCGGGAAACAAAGATCTTTACTTGGGAACTTTCAGTGAGCCTCCATTTTCAGTAGTTGCATGCAAATAATACACATCGGAAAACAAGAACTAAATTAATTTGAATGATGGTGTATTATTAATTGCAGGTACTGAGGAAGAAGCTGCAGAAGCATACGACATAGCGGCGATCAAGTTCAGAGGACTAAACGCAGTGACAAACTTCGACATGAGCCGTTACGACGTGAAAGCCATACTTGAAAGCAACACGCTTCCAATCGGAGGAGGAGCTGCGAAACGACTGAAGGAAGCTCAGGCTCTGGAATGTTCCAGGAAGAGAGAGGAAATGATAGCGCTCGGATCGAGCTTTCAGTACGGCAGCGGCAGCGGAAGCGGCAGTTCTAGCAGGCTACAACTACAAGCCTACCCACTGATGCAGTTGGATCAGACGCAACCATTGTTAAGCCTGCAGAACCAGGAGATATCTCAGTACCCGTCACTTCATCATCCCAGTTATATCCAAACCCAGCTTCAGCTGCACCATCAAACTGCTTCTTCTAACTATAGCTTTCACCAGTCACCGAGTAATAACGCTCAGTTGTACAATAGCTATCTTCAGAACCACCCGGCTCTGCTTCAGGGTTTGATGAACATGGGTTCTTGTTCTTCTTCTGTGATGGACAATGACGGAGGGTCTAGTGGGAGTTACAGTGGAGGAGGGTATATGGGGATGGCTTCCAACACGACGTCGGGGGGATCCGCGGAGGAGCTGGCGCTGGTGAAGGTTGAAAACTACAACATGCCGTCCAGTGGTTACGGCGGCGGCTGGCCGTCGGAGTCCATGCAGGGATCCAATGCTGCTCTCTTTACTATGTGGAATGAATGATCCGTGAGGAAGGAGGATCGGAGGAGGAGGGGCCAACCTAACTACCAGACAGTTTTCTTCTTTTGTCTTCACTTTTTCTTTGTTTCTTATCATTCTCGCAACCAGAAAAAGTTATGGAAAATAGTTTGTTTTGGACGCAATGACTGGGGAGGAAGCAATGTTCTTCATTCTGGTATTGTAACAAGTTGTTGTCTTTCACTTGATTTAGGTCTCTTGGTAGCGAAGAAGCACTGACTTACATATACGACGTGCAATATTGGCGATCAGGGTTGGGTCGGTCTTGCAATATATGGGCACGAACGGGTTGCCCAAATTTTGTATGCAGACGGCTCACATTTTATAACGGTTTTAAATTATAATGTTCGTTAGTTATATCTCTATTGTTGCAAACCTCTTCACGTGCTCTTGATAGATGCTGAAGTTCATCGGGAGAGAAGTGCCTGAACATATATCATAGGAGAAACCCAGCATTATATTATTGCTTCACCTCCGACATCAAATATTATTTTGATCGACGCCTTCGAGGTTGTGAATATTGAATATCAAATACTATCTCTAGTCCTTAATATAAGATCCTATTTGACTTTTATCTTGATTCTAAATATAAGACTCCAATCCACTTTGTCTCTCATATTTATACATTTTTTCCCAAAGTAGTCTTTCTAACAATGATAGTTCTAGTCAATACACTTGATTAGCAAGGATATTTTAAGAAAGACAACACATATTTAGGATAAATAACTAACTCAACTTACTTTTTTAATCTCTTCAAGTTAGTCAATTGACTCTTATAATTAGGACTAGAGGTAGTATCAAATATTAATTGTTCGTTTTCGGTAGTGCTAAATGATTTTAACTCCTGCATATATACAATCTTATTAGAATGATGAGGGTATTTAACTATGGGCCTTTTTAGCGAAGCAACCAAGTTTTCATTTATAAGCACTGATGTGCTGCGAAAATCACCGTACGGCGGATTTGAAAAGTAAGTTTCGTATTATCTTAGTTTTATAGTTTATTTATTTGTTTTAATTTTACTCTTCTACTTATTTAAAATGTTAATTTAGCCCCCTAACATATTCGCTCAATAATCATATATTTCGAAAGTTCTGGATCAAAGGCTTTATTATTTTGACTGTGTAAAACATTATAATTAGTTGCGTTTCGTTAAAATGAGTTAATTAGTTTTTTTGGACGATTAACTAATTAAGAAATCATGCCTTAATTGTTGGCAAAAAAGAAAAGAAAAGAAAAGAAACCATGCCTTTATTGCCCGATAGAGCATCTAGGTTGATTTATTTGACTTAGGCTGAAAAAAATGTTAGATGAGCCGAAATTACACTTTCCGGTGATGTAGTCTTTCGACCCTAACTGTCATTTAATGTCTGGATTATTTTAAAATCAGATCATAACGTAACAAATAGAATTAGTCAAGGAAACAATATACAGGAAATGAGAGTGAGATCACTGATTATATATGAATATATATATATAGTAGAAAATTTTCATAAAAGGACTTCATTTCATGAGTATAAATATAGCAAATAAAGTCTCATCAACTGGTGTAGTTTAAGCTGTGTTCATTTTGAAAACACTGGAGATAACAAGAGAAAATTTCAAAGGCTGAAATTTGCATGGAATGTGTTGGTGCACTGCATGTGAGTCTATTTGAATGCCTAATGACTTGGACTTGCTTAGTGCTTAAAAAAGCCAGCCGCAGTACATATTTATTATTATTGGGTGATGGTTTAAGTAAGACGGATAAATGTTGAAGCAAATCTATCGTGGAATGAACATGCGATTGATGGATTCAATGCTCAGAACGCAGATATATACGTCGATTGTCAATAACTCTGTGATAATATGCGACCCAAAATTCTTAGCTTTCTCATATTTGAAGTCTTATTATCGTTGAGTTTGTTATGCTTGCATTCCTTTTTTTTTTTTTTGGGTCGAGTCTTCTAATAGCGTACACATCAAGATATTTTATTCTTTTGGATTTAGTTTTAAGTAGCCGGTCCTGAAAAATGATGATGAAGTTGTAAAGTCGAGGTGTTGTCTTTTTCATCTCGTGCTATAAAACGGGAAGAGTCGATCGAGAACTTGAGTATTTGTTTGAGGCTGCTTTGTATATTAGGTCGGTGATTACGGAAATCAACAAGTTTTTGGTGAGCATTATGCGACACGAACCTTGTAAACTTTCCAGAATTATATATTCTTAAGATATGGAACTTTATTATTCACACGCGCACGGATACATATATGAATATTGATAATTATCGGTTGACGAGGAAGCACAGGGTGTCAGTGGGAAGCAATTTTTTTTTTTTTTGGTTAAAAACGAAATTTTGTCTCTCCCATTTTGTTTGATGTCATTGGCAGTAAAAGTATAATTCAGATTGTAAGGAAAACAAATAATTAGAGAGAGCATGGCATGAAAGAGAACAGTTTAAGGACAAACAATTCATCAAGTTGTGCGTGAAATCAGAAATGGATCGCGTCTTTTCGCTCCTGTATTAAAAAAATTACACAAGGTCATGCCCGGGGAGATGTTTTGCCCTTGTGGAAAGACAATGTGGATCTTTGGGTAGAAAAGGCCCAATCTTTGTGGGGTCTCGACCCAATGATTTCAATGGGTCAAGGCCCAAACAAACACACATGGCCGCCTGGTTCGCAACACTCCCCCTTGCCCCAACTCCTTTCTCACTGTACTCGTCGGCTCGGATCTTTGTCCCCTCGTTCCCCGTCTCTCCCTCTCCCTCCCGCTGGGATCTTCCAGCCTCCGTTGATTTTGTGCGAGGTATTGCCTTCGTCTCTCTGATTCCTTCCCTTCTCCAATCTCGTTTTTGGTCTCATCTCCCCTGTCTTCTGCTCCGCGCTCAAATTCCTTTTTTCCATTTCTTTCTAATTGTGAAGGAAATCCTTGCAAATCTTTATCATTTCTCTTACCCAGCCCCGACCTTGCTACTCAAGGGCTGTTTCTCTCGAACAAACGCTACTTTGTTGTCTGTTTGTGTGTATGTGTGTTTATTATTTTATTTTTTTGCTCCCTTCCTTCATAGTTCCTGGGTAGACGAAACATGCAAACCGAGCTTTCAGGATGCTAATGTAATCGTGAACGGCATGAATTAATGGAATTTTTCTTTTAATTTTTATTGAAAACTTTGTAGGTCGTCTTGGGTGAAGTAAATGATGATTAATAGGTTGTCTTGGGTGAAGTAAATGATGATTAAGTTTCTCTTAGCTTTAGTTTATAGAATTGGTTTTATTAAGGGCATCGAAGTCCTATGAATATTTGCATCTGAACTAAATATTTCCTTCAATTACCTTACTGCTTTATTTGGTGTCTGTAATGTCAGGGATCATTTAAAATTTGATTAAGTGTGGTTTAAGCAATAATGCGTATTTTTGGAATAAATGAGCGAAATGAAAATTTCACGAGTTGACTAATTTGCTGTTGTGTTGATGATGAAGGACAGTTATGGTGAAAGCATACACGCAGGAATACACTTACAGGCACCCATGGGAACGAGTAACTTGTGCATCTTGGCGCAAGTTTGCTGACCCTGAGAACAAGCGTATATTATCCCATATCTTAGAAGTTGACACATTGAACCGCAAGCTTGACCCCCCATCTGGGAAGCTTTATACCACTCGCGCTATCACTATCCATTGTCCTGGACCATGGTTTGTGCGCAAAATTGTTGGTCAGGATATTTGCCACTGTGTTGAATCAACAGTTGTTGATGCACAGTCACGGTCGATGCAGTTAACTACTCGTAATATCAGCCTCCAGAAGTTTGTAGAAGTGGAGGAGAAGATACGATATGATCCTCATCCTGACAATCCCAATGGGTGGACAATTTGCCAACAGGAGACTCGCATCCGTATCAAACCATTGTCAGCATTGGCATCCATGGCTGAAAAGGTGGAGCAGCGATGTGCTGAGAGGTTCATTCAGAATAGTACCAAGGGAAGAGACGTCATGGAGAGGATATGTAAATATCTGGAAGCAGAGTCTAGTGGCCTTGCTCTGTAATTTTGCCTTGATGATTTCATTTCAGGTTTTGTAGTTTAGCTCTTGGATTTACAAATAAATGAGAAAATTGCGTTAGAGTTATATGGAGAAGGGGGATCTTGGACCTGTTACCTTGAACCTTGATACGGCAAAACAAGCAATTTTGGGACAAGTGATATTAAAGTTTGTGATGTTACGATTCCTGCCCGTCTAGATTTGTCTTCTCTGAATCTTGGTCAGGGCCTTAGGGAATTTGAAACACATCTCCAGATGTTCTTATCTGTCACCGTTTCTTGTTTTTGAACCAAGACTGCACGAGTCTATGCTCATGGTGACAAGTTCATCGCACTAGATTAGATCCCACCCCCTCTTTACAATCTTCAGATAGAGTCTTCAAACTTGAGTTTTTCTTTTGGGCAAGATTTTTCTTTCAAGCATACAATTAATTTCCTAGTTTAGTTGCCCATTTCTCCTGAAAACGTATATTCTGAAACAGTTAAAGTTTATTCCAGTTTCTTTATCCTCACATCATGCTCATGTCTATGATTCTTCCTGCGTTTCCTAAGACTACCGGCAATGTTAGACGGTATTTTTATCTCTTGAAATAAGCTGAGCCACGAGTTCAAAAGGTACAACTATTAGAGTTACACATGCACTAACCCTCCAGTATAACACTGATGTGAAAATATCACGTTTTTCTTCCAAAGTTGGTATGTCTGTTTTGTTTAAAATCATGCCTGCCATTTTGTATACTCTGGTATATGGAACCCAGCGAACCCAAACGTTTCCCCTATGCTTATCATTACCAAGAGAAGTTTAATAGTTGCTATGAAACCGTCATGATTTAGAGTGCCAATATTTTACACATGGTTCTCGTTACCCAGATGCCATATGGAACAAAGTAGGCGCATTACAAAGCTAATGATAAGCCAACTTTCACCAAACCAGGAGAGATTTAAAGATGACAAACACTTGGATCAACATCTTTTTCCTCCAATCACATGAAATAGTGCTTCAAACTGCAGAGATGTCCAACAATTCCGAGCTCCCGACCACATACAACATAATAAGAACATAAAAGAAAAAGGAGGAAACTCGGGTCATCTCATGATGAAATCGAGCATAACATCAACTCATGGATGAAACCTCAATACATTGGACCTAGATCTTATCGAGCTTTTCAGCCTTGACAACTGGGTTTGCTTTAGCTATGGCATCCCTTTCAGCACTGCGGTAATCGAAGGAACAATTGTGCTTGTCTGAGTAGCGGTGTGCAGCACAGAACAGGTTACCACACCGACAACTGAACCCTGTCA